GGAATGAGGGTTTAAATAGGGTGCAAACCCTTGAAACTTAGGGTTTCATCCAGCAGCGGTGACTCGCCGAGTCCAGATATGGACTCGCCGAGTCGCCCACTTAAACGTGTCCTGAGTTCGTCCCTACTCGGCGAGTCGGACCTATGACTCGCCGAGTCCAAGGCTAAATTAGGGCAATGCTCAAATAAAATTCACATACCGAAACCAGGTGCTACAAATCTCCCCCACTTATTTTAGACTTCGTCCTCGAAGTCTGCTGCCCGGTCCTGAAACAGCTCGGGGTAATGCTCCATCATCTCGTCCATCGGTTCCCAAGTCCATTCCGAACCCTTGCGGTGCTGCCATTGCACCTTTACTAGTTCTACCCTCTTGTTTCTCAACGTCTTGGTCTTTCTGTCAAGTATTGCGACTGGGCGCTCAATGTAATTCAAGCTGTCATCAACCTGAATATCCTCCAATGGTACTACTGCTGAATCGTCCACCAGGCACTTCCGCAGCTGCGAAACATGGAAGGTGCTGTGGATCTGACTGAGCTCGGCTGGCAGATCCAGCCTATACGCCACCTTGCCCACCCGGGCTACCACCCTGAACGGCCCGATGAATCTTGGGCCCAACTTGCCCCGCTTCCTGAATCGAATGACACCTTTCCAAGGTGAGACTTTCAGGAGGACCATATCCCCGACTTGGAACTCCAAGTCGGATCGACGTCTATCGGCGTAGCTTTTCTGCCGACTCTGTGCAGTCTGAAGTCTGCTCCGAACCTGCTGGATCTTCTCGGTCGTCTCTAGCACCACCTCGGTGCTTCCCATGACTCTCTGGCCAACCTCCCCCCAACATATCGGGGTTCTGCACTTCCGCCCATACAACATCTCGAACGGGGGTCGGTCAATACTCGCGTGATAGCTGTTGTTGTAGGAGAACTCAGCCAAAGGAAGATAGGTATCCCAGCTACCACCGAAATCCAGTACACACGCCCGCAACATGTCCTCCAAAGTCTGGATGGTCCGCTCACTCTGACCATCTGTCTGCGGGTGAAAGGCGGTGCTGAAATGTAGACGAGTGCCCAACTCATCCTGAAATTTCTTCCAGAATCTGGAAGTAAAACGCACATCCCTATCCGAGATTACCGATACTGGCACCCCATGCCGTGCCACAATCTCCCTGATATAGATGTCGGCCAATTTTTCGGCCGATATGCTCTCCTGAATCGGAATAAAGTGAGCACTCTTGGTCAATCTATCCACGATGACCCAAATCGAATCCACTCCCCGTGCGGTCCTGGGAAGCTTTGTGATAAAATCCATCGTGATATCTTCCCATTTCCACAGTGGAATGTCCAACGGCTGCATCTTGCCATGCGGCCTCCCGATGTTCGGCCTTGACCTTCCTGCAGGTCAAGCACCGCTCGACGTACCATGCCACATCCCGCTTCATGCAAGGCGACCAATAATCCGGACGAAGATCCCTATACATCTTCGTCGCCCCGGGATGAATAGAAAATCGGGACTTGTGCGCCTCCTCCATCAGAATCTGACGCACGCCACCGTGATACGGCACCCACACCCTACGGTGTAATGTCAAAAGTCCTCTGCCCATCATAATCAAAGGAGGAAACCTGACCCAGCCCCATGCGTCATTCAAACCCCCAACCCAGAAATAAAGCCAGTATGCCACACATGTGGTGAGATCGGACATTTCAAGAGGGATTGTCCAACTGAGAGTAATAACGGAGAAGCAGGAGTAGTTTAACAACTAGACATGAAGAAACAAAAAGTAACCCTACCGGTATTTTTGGTATGTCCCGAAACTAAAATATTTAAGCATCAAAATTTCACCAAAATCTTTTTCAAATAAATTAAAAATCACAAATTCTTTCCTCAACCAAATAAAAACACGTCATTCATATAAAAACTAATGATCCTTACAGGTGAACTGTGATGGATTAGTGTACACATTAGGGTCATATATAATTAAGATTCTAAAGGCTTAGAATGTGCAATTCTACCTTATTTCATGTTTCTTATTTGATTGTGGATTTAGGGAAGGGTTGCTCAGTCGACTGTCTTCTCGATCTTAATTATACATGTCCAACCATAATCCTAACCATGATCGTGAATGCTCTGATACCAATTTGTTATGAACTGGATTCTAAGAAAAGATTCAATAATGATGTTCTATTACTTGTTCTAACAACTAAAAGTAACTCAGTGTGTCATACTAACTCCCTTAAATATAACATCTATATAAATCTCAAACGACTAACTCGTACCCCAACACTAAACCTTAGGATCAAGAACATGATACCACTAAGAGTTACTCAATCCAAACCTAGATCCCACCTAGATCAAGATGCTCGGTCTGTTCAAAACAACCTACCTGTGGATTTAGCATCCATTGAGGCCTTTATAGCTTAGCGGATTGCTGATACGATGGCAACATACAAAACTAACCATCATACTGGCTCTGGACATGGGATGGGAGGAGAAAGCTCCCAAGGAGACAACATGTGACAACCCGAAATAATTGGATCAAGCAAGGTCTAAATTGTAACCCTATTACAATGAAACCTTGAAGACTAAAAGGGCATAGGTGCTTGTACATGGAAGTATACACTTAGGAAATCACATACAAGGTAATCTCTTGAAAGTAAACAAGTTTATCAAGGCAAAAACTAGACAAATGGATTTGGCTAAGAATCACATGAGACGGATATAAGAACTTGTGTTATGATGCAACCTTGAATGCCTGAACTTTAAGGCCATCATTTTAAGCTTTCTAAGCACTAGATTCATATACACAGTTATAAAAATCATCCAAAACGTAAACACACTAAAGGATACGATCTAAGACCATAAACCCTTTTCATTGGGCCATGTTTGGCCGTGAACCCCTTCATGTGGGACATGAATGGCTGTGAACACCATCCTAGGAAGGATCCTAGGGCGTAAACACCCCTTAGTGGACCTTACTTGGGCGTAAATTACTTTAGGGATTAATCTTAGGGCGTAAACACCTTGGTGGACCACATTAGAGGCGTAAACTACCTTAGGGATGTGATGTTTGGGCGCAAACACCTTCCTAGGGAGCATCTTAGGCATAAACACTTAGATATTTTAAGTGTTTACGAATTTATGAGTTGTATTCGCCATTTTCCCATGCAATCATGGATCCTTATGAATTATCCAATAGTTCTCCAAGTAAACTTCAAATCATCTTCACTTCCCTTATTTAAACAAGAACCCCTTTTGTTAATCCTCATCATCACCTCATTTCATTCTCTGGATACTTCATACTTCCTTTATGAACGTAAACCACTTTTCACAATATCTCATTTATCATATTCACATTCTGTGAACTCCTAAATTGCTCTCAAATGTATTCAAGCTCCAAGTTTTAATTCTTCAAAGCAATCCCTAGCTCCTTGTAAATATTTCAAGTTTTAGCTAGTGATTCTACATATTATTTTGTTTATTTCATCATATTTACACATAAAATTATGTGTTAATATTCTTAGGATATTCTAAGGTTCAAAGAGTTTATCAAACTCTTCAAGTGTTAGGACTTGAAAACTTCTCAACATCTCTCCAAATCATCCACCAAACCAAATCAAGGTGAGGTTCATACCCCCCCCTCCCATATTTTCAAGCTTTTTTATGTTTTTTTTTGGGCCGGGGGGGGGGGGGGGATACAAGTCAAACTTTGTTTATTCCACAAATAACTACAAGTTTATCATCTTTATGTTAAGGATAACTTATTATTTTATACAGGTTAATGTATACTCTAGTTTGGTATAAATATTGTGATATGAGTATATTTTTAGTAGCGAAAACTAACGTGATCAAAGTTATAAAATCATAATAAAAGTTAAGATCTGTAAACTATATGGTTTTTGGGAACTTTTATTAAATGATGGTTTTATTTGCAAAAATAGTACATTATAGTCAAACACAAAATCTAATGAATTTTAACATCAACATACTATGCCTTGATATATTTTTCATGCTAGAACACACCTTCATATTTATATAAAATAATATGTAAGTAGTTTCAGACCAACAAGATAAATTATAATATCGGTATAGTCATCACCCACACTTTTCAAAGGCATGTTTAATCATCTAAAAGTATAACAATCCTGTTTTCACAAGAAGAGGGAGTTATAGTTCACGTAAATCTGTTAAGGCTCTTGTGAGACATCTTTAGTTGTACCTACCTAACGTATGCGGAAAGTCCTGTTAGTTACAATCGGAGTCTCCTAGAGGGAGAGTGTGATAGTTGTGTATAGATCTATATGGGGTTGACACCCCACACCTGAGTTGTTCGCTACAGTTAGACTAGGCCAATCTAGGGTGACAAATATTTTGAATCTGATGCCTGAAAGATGGCAAGCTAGGAATTTTGACGTAGTTTGGTTGTAACGACTCACATATGGATAAACAAAACGATTTTACATTACGAGAAGCTTATACTTCATTAGTTTTATTGAAATAAATGAAACTATCTTTTGTATGATTTTCACCTCCATATTGGTCTTGGAATTTTAAGCCCGGTTTATGGCAAGCTTATATTTCATTAGATTTATTAAAAAAAATGAGGTTATAAACTATTTTCCGCATTATACTTTCTTCCATCTTGGTCTTGGGGTTTAAGACCACAGTTCATTTTTTAAGCAAAACATTGCATTATTTTGTATCGATATATATTTTTACTTTACAAGGACAGGGTGTACACCCTCCTAGTTTTATAAAATTCCGAGCTATGTTTCGTATATTTTGTAAACTGATCTCGTAACTTCGGTCTAATGGTTTTAATGACCACAACTTTTCACATAACAGAAAATATAGGATTTTATGGGAACACATTCATGTTAACACAAACTATTTTTATAAGAAAATATCGGATTTTCTAGAGTTTTACAACTTACTATGAACAAAGATATTACAAAGTTTTCTTACAAAAATTCTTATGAACTCACCAACTTTTAGTTGACGATTTTCAAAATGACTTGTATTCTCAGGGATCTAGTAGACAGGTATTCACCACATTCGAGGCCCAACGTTGCTGCATTATGTTTTCTACTATTGTTATTCGTGTTTAACTTTTGCATAGATCAAGTGCTGTAAACAATGTAAACTAAATATTAATGTATGAATGTTTGTGTTGCTATATTTCATTTATATCTAATTGTTATGATATTGTACGTGAAGTAACTTCATCCGCCCCCATACGTTTCCGCCGTTCTGGTTTGGGGGTGTTACAGATTGGTATCAGAGCATTGTTTATACTGAACAAGTATATCAAACCATACAAGATATACAACTATAAATACAATGGGACTAAAAACTCTAACTAAAAGTATACTTTAAAAATATAAGTATTTTATAAAAGCATACATACTTACTAGAACAGTATCATACTGAGAAGAAAACAAAAGTATTTAGATGTTGGACACTACAGTCAAACCTACGCAGTTATGTAATCATATCTAGGATAAATATAGTCTGGTCAACTATATTTATTTGAGATATGACCAACATGTGCTTGAGAGTGATAGTGGTGCTGCAACAAGCCTAAAACTTACCAACTATACATGCAAGAGAACATTAGTGTCGTACATCAAGTAAAAGACTATAGGAGTACTTTAGGATATTATATAACTTTCGCACATATACTTTCTACCCGCTTCTCACACCTCCAGTCTCGCACAGACACCACGGCTGAATTCCAACACAGAGACCTCTACTACCAGGCCTTGGTGGCCCATAGATGGGTTGATGAAGAAACAGAAGAGGTTCAAGAGGAAAACCCAGAAGAAGGTCCCGAAGAACACCAAGTAACGGACTACAAGGGGGAGAATTTCAATGAAGAGTCAGACAAGGATGAAGGCACCAGATGGATCCTTAGCGACCCTCACTCTTCGGGAGCAACACCGAACCAACACACAGCGCAAGAGGACCATACCGACCGCCTACTCTCTTTAGAGGAGGAAGTGGCCACCCTAAAGCAGCAGCTCCTTGCAGCCGAAGTTAGGGCAGTTCAAGCGGAGCAAAGGGTGGATGAGACCACTCGTGAATGAGTGAAATGGTCGAGCTCCTTGTGCGTTATTTTGACATATGAGCGTCATTACACTACTCGCACTATGTCTTAATTTTATTATGTACTTCGTTATAACTAGTAGTATTGAATCAAGAGAGGTACGCCTTCCAAGAACCCGTGTAATCCGAGTCAACTAATTGAACTGATATCTATATCTTCTTTTGTTAAACTTAACGATCGTCCAGTATCGACTACTACATACTACCATTAATACATCATAGGGATGTAGGTCGAAACAACGAGAATCATACAACCAAAACATGTGACTTATATGCGTGCATGCATAACTCCATGTCTGTAATTGTAAATGAGATACAACTAGAAATGACCCCAGTTACTCACGAACCTGTTTCTCACCATGCAACAGAATCATGTATTCCCATGAAAATAACCAAAGCACCGGCAAAACGCCAATTCTACATATCGACACCACAACCTTCCAAGCTGATGTAACAACTGTTGTGGCAGCTGTCATGGCACAACTTAATGCCAATAAGACAAACGGAAACGGAGACAGTGTCAACAATTCCAACCGTAGTAACAACCAAGGATACCAACAAGTGACAACTTGCCAAGACACCCCGAACATCAAATGTAAGATCATGAAGTGAAAGCAAGGGAACAAGAAAGGAAGCAGTTCAACTCAAGGGCCTACCAAAAGGCAACAAGTTGTGGCAGCCTCTACCCCCACTGACCCTAATACCTTGACACCAAGAAAACCATATGCTGGAAACCTCCCAAAATGCAACAAGTGCACCTTCCATCATAATGGAGTCTGTCAAAAGTTGCATTGCAATAGGTGCAACAAGACGAGGCACACCGTCCGCCACTGTAGGGCCCTAGCCCCATGCGTCATTCAAACCCCCAACCCAGAAATAAAGCCAGTATGCCACAAATGTGGTGAGATCGGACATTTCAAGAGGGATTGTCCAACTGAGAGTAATAACGGAGAAGCAGGAGTAGTTTAACAACTAGACATGAAGAAACAAAAAGTAACCCTACCGGTATTTTTGGTATGTCCCGAAACAACAATATTTAAGCATCAAAATTTCACCAAAATCTTTTTCAAATAAATTAAAAATCACAAATTCTTTCCTCAACCAAATAAAAACACGTCATTCATATAAAAACTAATGATCCTTACAGGTGAACTGTGATGGATTAGTGTACACATTAGGGTCATATATAATTAAGATTCTAAAGGCTTAGAATGTGCAATTCTACCTTATTTCATGTTTCTTATTTGATTGTGGATTTAGGGAAGGGTTGCTCAGTCGACTGTCTTCTCGATCTTAATTATACATGTCCAACCATAATCCTAACCATGATCGTGAATGCTCTGATACCAATTTGTTATGAACTGGATTCTAAGAAAAGATTCAATAATGATGTTCTATTACTTGTTCTAACAACTAAAAGTAACTCAGTGTGTCATACTAACTCCCTTAAATATAACATCTATATAAATCTCAAACGACTAACTCGTACCCCAACACTAAACCTTAGGATCAAGAACATGATACCACTAAGAGTTACTCAATCCAAACCTAGATCCCACCTAGATCAAGATGCTCGGTCTGTTCAAAACAACCTACCTGTGGATTTAGCATCCATTGAGGCCTTTATAGCTTAGCGGATTGCTGATACGATGGCAACATACAAAACTAACCATCATACTGGCTCTGGACATGGGATGGGAGGAGAAAGCTCCCAAGGAGACAACATGTGACAACCCGAAATAATTGGATCAAGCAAGGTCTAAATTGTAACCCTATTACAATGAAACCTTGAAGACTAAAAGGGCATAGGTGCTTGTACATGGAAGTATACACTTAGGAAATCACATACAAGGTAATCTCTTGAAAGTAAACAAGTTTATCAAGGCAAAATCTAGACAAATGGATTTGGCTAAGAATCACATGAGACGGATATAAGAACTTGTGTTATGATGCAACCTTGAATGCCTGAACTTTAAGGCCATCATTTTAAGCTTTCTAAGCACTAGATTCATATACACAGTTATAAAAATCATCCAAAACGTAAACACACTAAAGGATACGATCTAAGACCATAAACCCTTTTCATTGGGCCATGTTTGGCCGTGAACCCCTTCATGTGGGACATGAATGGCTGTGAACACCATCCTAGGAAGGATCCTAGGGCGTAAACACCCCTTAGTGGACCTTACTTGGGCGTAAATTACTTTAGGGATTAATCTTAGGGCGTAAACACCTTGGTGGACCACATTAGAGGCGTAAACTACCTTAGGGATGTGATGTTTGGGCGCAAACACCTTCCTAGGGAGCATCTTAGGCATAAACACTTAGATATTTTAAGTGTTTACGAATTTATGAGTTGTATTCGCCATTTTCCCATGCAATCATGGATCCTTATGAATTATCCAATAGTTCTCCAAGTAAACTTCAAATCATCTTCACTTCCCTTATTTAAACAAGAACCCCTTTTGTTAATCCTCATCATCACCTCATTTCATTCTCTGGATACTTCATACTTCCTTTATGAACGTAAACCACTTTTCACAATATCTCATTTATCATATTCACATTCTGTGAACTCCTAAATTGCTCTCAAATGTATTCAAGCTCCAAGTTTTAATTCTTCAAAGCAATCCCTAGCTCCTTGTAAATATTTCAAGTTTTAGCTAGTGATTCTACATATTATTTTGTTTATTTCATCATATTTACACATAAAATTATGTGTTAATATTCTTAGGATATTCTAAGGTTCAAAGAGTTTATCAAACTCTTCAAGTGTTAGGACTTGAAAACTTCTCAACATCTCTCCAAATCATCCACCAAACCAAATCAAGGTGAGGTTCATACCCCCCCCTCCCATATTTTCAAGCTTTTTTATGTTTTTTTTTTGGGCCGGGGGGGGGGGGGGGGATACAAGTCAAACTTTGTTTATTCCACAAATAACTACAAGTTTATCATCTTTATGTTAAGGATAACTTATTATTTTATACAGGTTAATGTATACTCTAGTTTGGTATAAATATTGTGATATGAGTATATTTTTAGTAGCGAAAACTAACGTGATCAAAGTTATAAAATCATAATAAAAGTTAAGATCTGTAAACTATATGGTTTTTGGGAACTTTTATTAAATGATGGTTTTATTTGCAAAAATAGTACATTATAGTCAAACACAAAATCTAATGAATTTTAACATCAACATACTATGCCTTGATATATTTTTCATGCTAGAACACACCTTCATATTTATATAAAATAATATGTAAGTAGTTTCAGACCAACAAGATAAATTATAATATCGGTATAGTCATCACCCACACTTTTCAAAGGCATGTTTAATCATCTAAAAGTATAACAATCCTGTTTTCACAAGAAGAGGGAGTTATAGTTCACGTAAATCTGTTAAGGCTCTTGTGAGACATCTTTAGTTGTACCTACCTAACGTATGCGGAAAGTCCTGTTAGTTACAATCGGAGTCTCCTAGAGGGAGAGTGTGATAGTTGTGTATAGATCTATATGGGGTTGACACCCCCACACCTGAGTTGTTCGCTACAGTTAGACTAGGCCAATCTAGGGTGACAAATATTTTGAATCTGATGCCTGAAAGATGGCAAGCTAGGAATTTTGACGTAGTTTGGTTGTAACGACTCACATATGGATAAACAAAACGATTTTACATTACGAGAAACTTATACTTCATTAGTTTTATTGAAATAAATGAAACTATCTTTTGTATGATTTTCACCTCCATATTGGTCTTGGAATTTTAAGCCCGGTTTATGGCAAGCTTATATTTCATTAGATTTATTAAAAAAAATGAGGTTATAAACTATTTTCCGCATTATACTTTCTTCCATCTTGGTCTTGGGGTTTAAGACCACAGTTCATTTTTTAAGCAAAACATTGCATTATTTTGTATCGATATATATTTTTACTTTACAAGGACAGGGTGTACACCCTCCTAGTTTTATAAAATTCCGAGCTATGTTTCGTATATTTTGTAAACTGATCTCGTAACTTCGGTCTAATGGTTTTAATGACCACAACTTTTCACATAACAGAAAATATAGGATTTTATGGGAACACATTCATGTTAACACAAACTATTTTTATAAGAAAATATCGGATTTTCTAGAGTTTTACAACTTACTATGAACAAAGATATTACAAAGTTTTCTTACAAAAATTCTTATGAACTCACCAACTTTTAGTTGACGATTTTCAAAATGACTTGTATTCTCAGGGATCTAGTAGACAGGTATTCACCACATTCGAGGCCCAACGTTGCTGCATTATGTTTTCTACTATTGTTATTCGTGTTTAACTTTTGCATAGATCAAGTGCTGTAAACAATGTAAACTAAATATTAATGTATGAATGTTTGTGTTGCTATATTTCATTTATATCTAATTGTTATGATATTGTACGTGAAGTAACTTCATCCGCCCCCATACGTTTCCGCCGTTCTGGTTTGGGGGTGTTACAGATTGGTATCAGAGCATTGTTTATACTGAACAAGTATATCAAACCATACAAGATATACAACTATAAATACAATGGGACTAAAAACTCTAACTAAAAGTATACTTTAAAAATATAAGTATTTTATAAAAGCATACATACTTACTAGAACAGTATCATACTGAGAAGAAAACAAAAGTATTTAGATGTTGGACACTACAGTCAAACCTACGCAGTTATGTAATCATATCTAGGATAAATATAGTCTGGTCAACTATATTTATTTGAGATATGACCAACATGTGCTTGAGAGTGATAGTGGTGCTGCAACAAGCCTAAAACTTACCAACTATACATGCAAGAGAACATTAGTGTCGTACATCAAGTAAAAGACTATAGGAGTACTTTAGGATATTATATAACTTTCGCACATATACTTTCTACCCGCTTCTCACACCTCCAGTCTCGCACAGACACCACGGCTGAATTCCAACACAGAGACCTCTACTACCAGGCCTTGGTG